GCACTCGGTGACGCGATCGTTGAGGGATAGGAGTGAGGTCGCAGAGGAGGAGGAGGAGAATGAGGAAGAGGCGATAACTTGAAGGAAAACGATGAGACGGAGGACATCCTGCCGGTGGCGCCCTGGGCGGTGCCGCGGAAGAAACCGGGGGCCTGCCGGAGGCAGTCTGGAGGCCTCTGGGGAGCTGTTTTGGGGCCTCTTGGAACCTCTTTTGGGCCTCTTGTGGGCTTCTTGGGGCCCCTTGGGGGTCTCTTGGGGCCTCCTGGGGGCCTCTTGGGGCGGAAAGCTCGGTTCTTTCGGTTCGTGGTCCCCCTCTTGGGCCCCTCTTGGGGCTCTCTTGGGGCCTTCTTGGGCTGTCCAGAGGCCCTCTTGGGCCGTCTTGGGGCCCTCTTGGGCCGTCTTGGGGCTCTCTTGGGCCGTGTTGGAAGCATCGTGGGCCGTCTTGGGACGGACTTGGGGGCCTCTTGGGCCGTCTTCGAGCGTCGGACGCCCGAAAAGGCAAGAACGCTAAAAACCCTGAGAAAACCAATGAAAATCAACGATTCTGGCCTCTTGGGGCCCTCTTGGGAGGCCTCTTGGAAGCTTCTTGGGGCGTCTTGGAGACACCTTGGGCCGTCTGGAGGCCATCTCGGGCGTCTTGGAGCGATTTTTCGGCGACTCGGGGCCCTCTTGGAACCCCTTGGGGGTCTCTTGGGCCCCCCCCCTCCTCCAAAGCGCCGGAAAAAGCGGAGCATGGCGCCCCCCCCCCCCCTATCTTCCACTCCCCCGGAGCGGCCCCGGGGTTCGCCGGAAACTCGCACCCCCCCCCCCCCCCCCACCCCCCCTTCCCCGGCAGAGCCACCCCGGCGACCCCCCCAGAGGCTGAAGCTCAGCCTCGAGGCTGTAGCTGAGACTCCTTGAAACTCACACGCCGGATCGGCGGATTATTGTTGTTGTTGGTGTTATCGGCGAAAGATGCATATCGCAAGCAACGTGCGGCGCGAGTGTTGGCACGGTCGCGGTCGTGGTCATGATTTTGATCACGATCACGGTCACCGTGACGGTCACGGCCACGGTCGTTTCATTCTCACAGGCCCGGTGAGGTGCCCGTGGTTCGATCCAGCGCCGCCTTCCCAGTTGACCCGAACGGCGCCCCAGGACGGTCCGAGAGCGCCCAAAGACAGGCCAGGGAGGACCTCGACGACGGTCCGACGAGCCAAGATCATTGGTCACCCATACGTCTTCGGCATCGCTTTTTGTAGCATCCGATGCTCCAAGACGGCCCAGGAGGCCCACAATATCGCCCCCAGCGGGCCGTTGGAGCTAGCAGTTCGCGCCTTCCGTGCCAAGATGACCTCCAAGACCGCCAGCAGGTCCCCCCCCCAAATCCCCAGGAAGCCTCCGGGAGGCCCAAAGCAGGCCCCAACAGACCCCAGCGCGGGCTGCGAGAGGCCCCAAAGCACAGCAAAAACAGCCTCCAAAGGGCTTCCAAGGGAACGCTCCTTAGAGAGCTCTGGGACCGCGCTGGCCACCTAAGAGAGCACCACGCACGACTGCAGAGGAGACCACATGTTCGGCCATACGTGCGCCTGGGCCATTGAGACTGGTCTACTCTGTAAGAACGGTTTTTTGAAGGCAGATCTGCCTTCAAAAGAACGGTTTTTTGAAGGCCTTCAAAAAACCGTTCTTACAGCGTATGCCAGCATGTTATCATGCCTCCCTTCTCGCTCCACGCTCCTCTCGCCTTCCTCGCCCTCCTCGCTCCTGGCTCCTCTCTTCTCGCTCCTCTTCGGCTCCTTCCACCTCTCTCTCTCCTGGCCCCGCGATTCTTCCTCCTGGCTACTGTCGTCTGCGTCCCCCCTCCTCTTCGGCTCGCCCTTATCCCTCCTCGTCCATCTCTCTCCTCGGCCGTCGCTCCTCCCTTCTCGCTCCGTGCTCCTCGCTGATCGCTCCTTGCTTCACCCACCTCACTCGACCCTGACTCCTCGCTCCTTGCTCCTCCCTCCTTGATCCACTCACGAGCTGCAGGTTGCATCATCCAGCCAGGATGCCAAGCATCAGCACACTGCAGGCTCAGCAGCAGCAGCGAACAGCAGCAGCCCGCAGAAGGCAACGGCAGCACCGCAAAGGCAAGCCGAGGAAGCAACATGCCGCAGGCGGCAAAACCCTGGAGCTGAAGACAGTTACATCAGAGGCGAAGTTCGGGCCCAATGTCATCACGAAAGCCTTTCGACACCTTCTCTGCCCTGGTCCAACGTGCCATCTCGGACAGATTTCGTGGCCCGCAGGCCACGCGTTGGCCTTAGTATCTCCTACAGCGCTGGGATCAGCGCTTGCGAGAAGGGCTTGCAGTGGCAGCTGGCGTTGGCGCTGCTGAGCGAGATGCGGGCGGCGAAGCTGGATCCGACCGACATCACTTGCACCGCTGGGATCAGCGCGTGCGGGAAGGGCTGGCAGTGGCAGCGGGCGCTGGCTCTGCTGAGCGAGATGTTGGAGGCGAAGGTGGAGTCCTCCGTCATCTGTACTACAATTCCGGGCGAAGCGCGCGCGAGAAGGTCAGGCAGTGGCAGCGCCCCCGGCCGCCCAGAGAGCTCGCGGGCCGCCCGGAGAGCCTCTGGGCCGCTGCCCGACGGGCCCGGGAGGCCCCCGGACCGCTGGCGGACTGATCCAGGATTCCCAGATCGCCCCAAGACGGCCTCAGGAGGTCCCGAAGACGGCCCAAGACGGTCCAAGAGTGGATCCGAGACGCTCAAAATGGCTTCAAGACGCCTTCAAGACGGCCCGGGACGCCTCCACGAGGCCCCCAGAGCGCTCGAAGTGTACCTCCAAGAGGGGCCGCAGAAGCCAAAGTCGTTGATTTTCTTAATTTTTCCGATGTTTCTGGCCTTCTCGCGCTTTCGGCTTTCCGACGCTCCAAGGCCGCCCAAGAGGCCCCCCAGACCGTTCCGAGACGACCCAAGAGGCGCCCGAGACGGCCTCAAGACGGCCCAAGAGGGCCCCAAGACGGCCCAGGAGCCAAGACAGCCCAAGAGGGCCCCAAGAAGGCCCCCAGAGAGGCCCAAGACAGGGACCCGGAACCGAAAAAGTTAGGCCTCCACCCCAAGAGGCCCCCAGGAAGCCCCAAAGAAACGCCGGGACGCTCCCAAGACATCCTCAGGAGGCCCCAGGACGCCCCACAGAGGCTTCAAGAGGCCCCCCAGGTGCCGCCAAGCGCCCCCAAAGGCTCCCAAGAGGCTCCAAAAGAGGGCCTAAGAGGCCCCAGGACGCCCCCAAACTGCTACCAAGAAGCCCCCAAACTGTCTCCCAGAGGCTCCCGAGAGACCAGCCACGAGATCCTAACCAACATCCACGAGATCTCTTACCCATTACCCAGGCCCGCAGCGACATTGCCCGCAGGCCACTACAGCAGGTTCGGAGCCCTACGGATCCCAGCACCCGCACCCTTGGCTGTATCGGGCCCCGCGCCGCTGCTCTCTCGGTTCTGCTGGCTTCGACCTGCCAGAGCTCTGAGCCGCTCCCCGACGCCCCCAGGACGCCCCTGGAGCGCTCCCCGACGGCTCCCGGACCCCCACATCGCTCCAAGACGGCCCCAAAGACGTCCAAGAGAGCCGAAGCCGATCCTGCCAGAGCCCCACGACAGCCTCGAAATGCCCCAGAGACGTGCCTCGAGGGCCCCGTGGACCATGCCTTGAGTTTGGGGTGAACGCGCACAGTCCCAGCGCGATTAGCAAAAACCCATTCCTTTTCACGCTTCCAGGTCAGTGCCTCTGGGGCTCCCCGACTGCTTTCTGAGATCGCCCCTGGACGTGGCCCCTTACACGTCGGCCCCACGCGTGGCCTCCAAACGGGACCCCCAAAGGCGGCCCCCATACAAAGCCTCCGAAGGTCGCCCTTACCGCCCCAGTAAGCGTGGCCCCCGAACGTCAACCCCACGCGTAGCCCCCAGGCGCCCCCAAACGTGGCCCCAACACACACAGCCCCCAACCATTGCCCTCAAACGTGACCGTCACATCTGCCCCCGAACCCCGCACCCTCAAACGCGACCGTCACATGTGCCGCACGCGGCCCCCAAACATGGCGCCCGGCAGGGCCGCGAACGTTGCCCCCAATCATGACCCCCTGACGAGACCCCCCAACGTGGCCCTCAAACGAGGCCCCCCAACATAACGCCCAACTCTGGCCCCCACGCGTCCACCCCCCACATCGAACTTCTCGCGCACAGGGATTCTGTAAGATCGTTGGGGCCCCCTTACTCTGATTGTGTCTGAAAACCTACGTGTTTCTGCTAATCGCGCCCAGGCCTCGCGCGATTAGCAAAAACACATTACTTTTGACGCTTCCAGCGCTTCCGACACGTGCGCGTTCGGGACCAACGCCTGGACCTGCGGGCCGTGGATTTTCCACGGGTTCACACTAGTCTGTACTACAATTCCGGGCGAAGCGCGCGCGAGAAGGTTAGGCAGTGGCAGCGCCCCGGGCCGCCCAGAGAGCTCGCAGGCCGCCCGGAGAGCCTCCGGGCCGCTGCCCGACGGGCCCAGGAGGCCCCCGGACCGCTGGCGGACTCATCCAGGATTCCCAGATCGCCCCAAGACGGCCTCAGGAGGTCCCGAAGACGGCCCAAGACGGTCTAAGAGTGTATCCGAGACGCTTACGATGGCTTCAAGACGCCTTGAGGACGGCCCGAGACGCCTCCACGAGGCCCCCAGAGCGCTCGAAGTGCACCTCCAAGAGGGGCCGCAGAAGCCAAAATCGTTGATTTTCTTTTTTTTTCAATGTTTCTGGCCTTCTCGCTTTTTCGGCTGTCCGACGCTCCACGGCCGCTCAAGAGGCCCCCAAGACCGTTCCAAGACGGCCCAAGAGGCGCCCGAGACGGCCCCAAGACGGCCCAAGAGGGCCCCAAGACGGCCCAAGAGTCGCCCAAGACGGCCCAAGAGGGCCCCAAGAAGGCCCCAAGAGAGGCCCAAGACAAGGACCCGGAACCGAAAAATCGAGGCCTCCACCCCAAGAGGCCCCCAGGAAGCCCCAAGACGCCCCAAAGAAACGCCGGGACGCTCCCAAGACTTCCCCAGGAGGCCCTCGGACGCCCCACAGAGGCTCCAAGAGGCCCCCCAGAGGCCGCCAAGCGCCCCAAAAGGCTCCCCAGAGGCCCCAAAAGAGGGCCCAAGAGGCCCCAGGACGCCCCCAAACTGCTACCAAGAAGCCCCCAAACTGTCTCCCAGAGGCTCCCGAGAGGCCAACCACGAGATCCCAACCAACATCCACGAGATGTCTTACCCATTACCCAGGCCCGCGGCGAAATTGCCCGCAGGCCACTACAGCCGGTTCGGGTACCCTACGTGTACCAGCACCCGCACCCTTGGCTGTATCGGGGGCCTCACCGCTGGTCTCTCGGTTCTGCTGGCTTTGACCTGCCAGAGCTCTCGAGACGGCCATCTCGACGGCCCGAGACCCCCGAGATGGCCCCAGGACCACCCTGCGCGGTCCCGCTAACGTGGCCCCTTCACTCTGACGGTGCCTGAAAACCCTTGAGTTTGGGCTGATCGCGCCCAGTCCCAGCGCGATTAGCAAAAACACATTCCTTTTCACGCTTCCAGGTCAGTGCCCCCAGGGGTCCCCGACTGCTTTCTGAGATCGCCCCTGGACGTGGCCCAAACGGGACCCCCAAAGGCGGCCCCCACACAAAGCCTCCGAAGGTCGCCCCTACCGCCCCAGTAAGCGTGGCCCCCGAACGTCAACCCCACGCGTAGCCCCCAGGCGCCCCCAAACGTGGCCCCAACACACACAGCCCCCAACCATTGCCCTCAAACGTGACCGTCACATCTGCCCCCGAACCCCACACCCTCAAACGCGACCGTCACATGTGCCCCCGAACCCCGCACGCGGCCCCCAAACATGGCCCCCGGCAGGGCCGCGAACGTTGCCCCCAACCATGACCCCCTGGCGAGACCCCCCAACGTGGCCCTCAAACGAGGCCCCCGAACGTAGCGCCCAACTCTGGCCCCCACGCGTCCACCCCCCACATCGAACTTCTCGCGCACAGGGACTCTGTAAGATCGTTGGGGCCCCCTTACTCTGATTGCGTCTGAAAACCTACGTGTTTCTGCTAATCGCGCCCAGGCCTCGCGCGATTAGCAAAAACACATTACTTTTGACGCTTCCCGCGCTTCCGACACGTGCGCGTTCGGGACCAATGCCTGGACCTGCGGGCCGTGGATTTTCCACGGGTTCACACTAGTCTCTCCTACATGGCGGGTGGAAGCGCGTGCGAGAAAGTCAGGCACTCAAGTGCACAAAATCGTCCCTTTACGGCCCTAGGCTGGCCCCGGGCCGCCCCGGGCCGCCTCGGGAGGCCCCAAGACACGCCAAAAGGGCCCAGAGAGGCCACCAAGACGGCCCCGGAGGGCCCCGGCACGCCCAAAGATGGGCTTAGACGCTCGAGATTGGCCCAAGACGGCTCCAGAGACCTCCAAGACGGCCCAAGAAGCCTCCCAAGAGGCCTCCTCAGAGGGTCCCGAGTGGCAGAAATCGTGGATTTCCATTGTGTTTTTCGATGTTTTTGGCCTTCTCGCCTTTTCGGCTTCCCGAGGCTCCAAGACGGCCCCAGAGGTCCCCAAGACCGCTCCAAGACAGCCGAAGAGGCCCCCAGGAGAGCGTCAAGACGGGCCAAGAGGGCCCCAAGACGGGCCCCAGCAGGCCCCGGCACGCTCCGAGACGCTCCAAGACGAGCCAAGGAAGGCCCCAAGAGACCTTCAAGATGGCCCCAGAGGGCCCCGGCACGCCCAAAAATGAGCCCAAGACGCTCAAGATTGGCCCAAGACGGCTCCAGAGGTCTCCAAGACGCCCCAAGAGGCTTCCCAAGAGGCCTCCCAACAGGGCCCCGAGTGGCAAAAATATATGATTTCCATTGTGTTTTTCTACGTTTTCGGCCTTCTCGCCTTTTCGGCTTCCCGACGCTCCAAGACGGCTCCAAGACAGCCGAAGAGGGCCCCAAGAGAGCCCCAAGACGGGCCAAGAGGACCCCAAGACGGGCCCCAGCAGGCCCCGGCGCGCTCCGAGACGCTCCAAGACGAGCCAAGGAAGGCCCCAAGAGACCTTCAAGATGGCCCCAGAGGGCCCCGGCACGCCCAAAAATGAGCCCAAGACGCTCAAGATTGGCCCAAGACGGCTCCGGAGGTCTCCAAGATGCCCCAAGAGAGGGTCCCGAGTGGCAAAAATCGATGATTTCCATTCTGTTTTTCGATGTTTTCGGCCTCCTCGCCTTTTCGGCTTCCCGACGCTCCAAGACGGTCCCAGAGGTCCCCCAGACAGCTCCAAGACGGCCGAAGAGGGCCCCAAGAGAGCCCGAAGACGGGCCAAGAGGGCCCCAAGACGGCCCCACGACTCCCCAAGACGGCCCCAGCACGGCCCAGGAGGCGCCCAAGACGGCTCAAGAGGCACCCAAGACGGCCCCAAGAGCGGCCCGAGACGGCCCAGGACAGCCCAAGAGGCGCCCAAGCCGGCCTCAGCTGGCCCCAAGACGGC